TTGCCAGCCCCCAGGCCCTCTGCTCCTGGGAGGAAAGGGGCAGCAGCACAGAGCAGGCAGCTAATTCCTGCCTGTCTGGGACAAGCACAGCAGAACCCCTCCCAAGAGGTGGCAGTGAGGGGGTGCCTCCAATGACCGGCAGTGCCTGGGGAACCCCTGCGTGGGGAAGGGGGCACCGAGATGTCCCAGGAGTCACCTTCGTCGCTCGGTTGGCCACAGGGCCAGGGCTGCCTTGGCTGAGCTGCTGCAGGTGCTGTTGAGTCATTGCAAAGATCTGATCCAGAGACAGCAGGTCGGAGCACATGAGGGACGAGATGGCACACATAGACCTCTGCAGGGAGGCAAGAGCTGGCTGAGCCTGGGCACGCAGCCAGAAACACCCCGTACCCTGGCTTCTTCCACTCACCCACCCACCCCGAGCAACAGCCCCAGCACCCGTCCACCCACCCCATGTCTGCAGCCCTTCGCAAGCCCCTTCTCAGGGAACTAGGCAGGGGCTGAGCAGTGCAGGCCAGGGCAGATGGGCAATGCCAGCAGCCCTGTGGGCACATCCCCGCAGCGCCCTGGGGCCAGCCCAGCCCCTACCACCTCGCAGTTCAGCAGTCCACACCTGGTGCAGGAGCAGAGGTTACAGCCAGTGCCTCGCGTTGCCGGCCACGCGCAGCACCCGGAGGAGCCCCAGGAGCCGGCGTGGAGCAAGTACCTCTCCTGCCCAGGAGCGTTTCAGCCCCAGAGCTCAGGGCCAAGGCAGCCAGGAGGGTGAGAAGGGACCACACTGATCTCTGCTGCCAACACAGCACCCCCTGCCTGGCCCCAGGGCACCAGCACCACAGCACCCCTGCTCCCAGGGAGGGGACGCGTCGGGAACTTACTCTTTGACAAAGTGCTGCACCTCGTCCCTGGTCAGGAAGACCCTGGCGCCCCGAGTCAGCGCCGTCACCAGGCTCACCTCCCGCAGGCAGTCGCCCAGGCTGTCAGCGTCCACCCTGCACCAGGAGAGGGTTCAAACGTCTTGGCACGGGCAGGAGCCAGCCCTGCTCCCTCCTGGGGGGCTGCCCCAGAGTGGGCTCTGGCAGAATGCATGCCCCTGGGAGCTCCACACTCCGGCTCTCCCCAGCTCAGACCCCAAATTCCTTCTGTGGGCTCACCTGCTGCCCTCCTGCCTTGCAGGGAGTCCTTGCCAAGGCAGACTCCCTGCCCCAACTGCCTCACCTGCCCGGCCAAAGGCTGCCCTGCCTGGGAGGCAGAACACTCCAGGAGGAACACAGGTTGGCAGCTTCAGGGCACTCCAGATTAACAGTGTTGAAAGACAGGGCACAATGATGCCTGGGCATGGGGAGATGAGGAAACCATCTCAGAAGGACTCAGGGGAGTGGGAGCTCACCATGCCCCCCATTCTCACCTCTCAGCCACATTCACCAGCTCCCGACTGGCCCCAGAGTGGCTGTCGCTGCCCGACTTGCTGTAGGAGTCCGAGGTGCGGCTCAGCTCACCGTTCTCCTGCGAGGAGTCCTGGGAGCTGTGCCCGCTGTCCGTCTCTTCCCAGCCGCCGGCGGCCAGCCCTGGCTGGTGACTCACTGCAGGGAAAGGAGCAGTGAACCCTGGAGCTGGGGCCTCGCTGCTCCTGCCTGCTCCAGCAGTCAGGACAAGACCGCGATGGCTGCAGCCCCATGCTGGCAGGCAGCCTCGCCTCACACCAGAGCTGGCTGCACTTCAGTGCCATGTCAGACATTTCCAGGAGTCTCTGAATCGTGCTGGGAGCTCAGGAAAAGAACTGCTTGGCTGTGTTGTCACAGAGCCACGGAGCAGCTGAGGGACAGCATCTTGCTGCCAAATCAGAGCCAACCTCCAGCGTGCCCTGAAATTGCATGACGGCTGTCTCCACAAACAATTGGACCAAGTGATTTGGGGATGTTCCCAAACCCTTGTCCACAAGCTAGGGCACCAGCCAGTTCAGCTTCATTGCAGCACAACCCTGTGCCACCTACGGAGGACAAGGGACCAGCCAGGAGCAGGTTTCCCTCCAGGATCCATCACTGATGCACCAGTCCCAGGAGCCCAAACCAGCCCTTGCAGGGCCTCCACCCCAGTCCCTTGGTGGGAACCCTGCTGGTCTTCCCCGCAGTCAACGGCCATGCCAGCCCGTGCAGGAGGGTGACGTACCTCGGATGCTGTGTGCTGCTGCGGCTGCTGGTGGTTTTGCAGACTCTGCCGCCCTCCTCCTGGGAGGGGGTGCCGACACGGGCTGGTAGGCATCTTCGTGGAGCTCCCTGCAGCGAAGCCGGGGCCCCTCCTGGGAGGGAAGCACAGCGTTGGCCACTGCTTCGGCCGCTCGCTGGATGGTGCTGAGCAGGACTTCACCTGTGGAAGCTGGGCAAAGGCCAGAGCATGAGGCGCTTCCCAGGGGAGCCCATCCCAGGCCCCGGGCACCGAGCCCAGGCACCCATCGTCCTTCAGGACATTGCAAGGGAACCAAGGGGAGAGGCTGACAGAGAGGAACAGCCCTGGCAGCCGGACAAGGTGGGCAAGGGCGCTGTGCAAGGAGTGACCAGATCTGTCCCCCACGGTGCAGCTCACCCTCAGCAGGGATTTGGGTGGAGGGGAAGGTGTCCCCAGCTCTGGGGAATGAAAGAGGAGGTCCCATTGCTGCCTCCTCTCCAGCTGGCTGGAGCACAGAGGCAGCTCCCCAGAGAGCTACTGGGAAAAGGCATCAGCCTCCCACATCCCCGTCACCTCTCCCAGCAGGGAAGGGCCCCGCAGAGCCCTCCGCTGCCAACCGCACGACAGCGCTGCCAGCCCCAGCGCTCACTAGGTGGCTTGAAAAAGGGGAGAGCTACATGAAGCAAAAATAGGGGGCCAGGGCTTCACAGACACGCGAGCACGGCTGACCCAGCGCAGCACAAGGACGCACGGGGCGAGCGGACAGCACCAAGGTAAGGCTGCAGCTGGAACTTACTGGAGCTGCTTTTCTCACTGCTGAAGCCGAATCCTTGCAAGGAGCTGCAGGGGCTCGATTTGGAGCCCATCCCTGGGGGAGGCACAAAGCATGTTCAGAGAACACAGGTGTTTGTTCTCCACTGTTGTTCCTCTCCCTTGCACACACACAGCTCCATCAATGGGGACCAGCTCAGCACCTCCAGCACAGCCCGCAGAGGGAGATGGGCCTGCAAGGGGCTGGCACTTACCTACAGGAGGCAGGGGGCGGGCAGGCAGCGTAGCGGGCTGGGGGAGCAGAGCATCAGAAAAGAGAACGCTGGCCAAATCTGGGCGGAAGGGCGGGCGGAGAGAGCTGTAGGAGCGGCAGCCACCCTGGCCTGGCCCGTGCCGGGGAGCAGGGAGCCAGAGCTGCCCCATTGCTCTGGGCCCCACTTAGTCCCCTGGGCACGGAGGAACAGGGGCAGGCACTCACCTGCGCAGCCGCCCGGACCTTCTGGTTCAAGCTGTTGCCATGCAGAGGATCTGGGGGCCCGGCGAACACTGCAAGGCACAGGGCAGGAGGGTTGGGGGGCGCTCAGCTCCCAGGCACAGGCAGGTTGGGGCAGGAACGCAGGAACTCAGACACCCCGTGCCAGGCTCCGCAGCCTCTAGG